TTTATAAAATGATTTTCGAGTTTTATAAAACGATTTCTCGAGTTTTATAAAACGATTTCTCGTGTTTTATAAAACGATCTCTCGAGTTTTATAAAACGATTTCTCGAGTTTTATAAAACGGTTTCTCGAGTTTTATAAAACGATTTCTCGAGTTTTATAAAACGATTCTCGAGTTTTATAAAACGATTTCTCGAGTTTTATAAAACGATTTCTCGAGTTTTATAAAACGATTCTCGAGTTTTATAAAACGATTTCTCGAGCTTTATAAAACGATTTCTCGAGTTTTATAAAACGATTCTCGAGCTTTATAAAACTGTTCTTTAGTTTTATAAAACGATTTCTTGAGTTTTATAAAACGATTCTCGAGTTTTATAAAACAATTTCTCGAGTTTTATAAAACGATTTCTCGAGTTTTATAAAACGATTTTCGAGTTTTATAAAACGATTTCTCGAGCTTTATAAAACGATTTCTCGAGTTTTATAAAACGATTTCTCGAGTTTTATAAAACGATTCTCGAGCTTTATAAAACTGTTCGTTTTAGATTCTTGCGGAGAGTTTTGGCTATTAATTCCGTCGTACCGATTTTGACCCCAACAAACTATCGGTTGCTCGTCAAGATAACCATGAAAGAGACGCTGACTTATAGCAGGGATGTACTTAAGTTTCAGCTTGGAGTCAAAATTTTCTTCCTTTCCGCAAACAGTGTCGGTGGATCTTGGAAGAACAGTATCGGTCGACGCGCGATTAATTTTGTCGATCGATTTGAGGATAACAGTATCAGGCAACACGGGATGTACCGTGTCGATCGATTCTGGGTGGGTAGTATCGGTCGACGCGGTGTGAGCCGTGTCGATCGATTTTGGGTGGGCATTATCGGTCGACGGGTTGTGAGCCGTGTCGATCGATTTCGGGTGGGTAGTATCGGTCGACGCGGTGTGAGACGTGTCGAACGATTTCAGGGGAACATGGGTTTTGTACTTTTGCAAAGGCAATTTTACTTCTTCACCTTGATTCAAGGTGGAATGGATTGTAACAGGGATTGTGGTCCCATGTTTATTTCTATTTTGGCTAATTGCATTACTTATTTTACCTATTGGTTCAATTTGGACTACTTCATGATTAACATATGTGTTAACAAAAATCGTACCTGCTCCCAGCGAGGCTTTGTCGATCGATGTATGGTGTGCCTTATCGATCGATGTCTGGTGTCCGTTGTCGATCGATTCTTCTTGGAGGGTGCCGACCGATAAGCGTGGACCAGCAGGCTCCTTCCTCTCAGGAACTAGAAATCCTCTCTTCATTGTTCCTGGTACTGAGATGTATGTACCTGAAAAAGAAGAAAAAATTTATCAGTATTTTAAAACAGTAACAAAACCTAGACTAAATCTAACTAAACAAGATCTAATGGCGATCAAAGCTCCCCGGCAACGGCGACAAATTTGATATCACTCAAATTACCCTAAGGAGTGAATTACTCTCTCAAATAAGAGGTTGAATTGTAGTACTTAGGGATCAAATCCACAAGGAGCTAAGGAACCTAATAGATCTAATAGTTATAAGATTAAGCTAGGCTAGTAAGTTTTAACGCAGTAAATATATTAGTAAATTAGAAAGCAGTAAACAAGATGAACAAGGTAATTGTTCAGCTTGGCAAGGATTTGTTGGATGGAAGGATGGTTGCTAGATTTAGGGTTTCTATTCAGGTAATTAGGATTATAATGCTATAGATGTCTAACAACTTGCATGCATGATATTAAAGAGCTTCAACTCTTAGATAAGTCTATTAGCTTTCGTTATCAGACTCGTCTATTGATCTGATGCTGTCAATATCGATCGATATCACTATCGTTACATCGATCGATATATCTTATCGTCGATCGATTACTCTATAGGAGTATCGATCGATATAGATTCAGATCGAGTTGAAATAATGCCCATGAAGATCATAGAGCGGCTCTCGCGTAGCCCTAGAGGATTTTAGCTTGTACAAGATGATATCACGATGAAGATTAATAAATTAAGCTATACCAGTTCATGGTTCTAGTTCATGACTCTAGAAGCAAGCATTAAGAACATCCTAACGATGAATATCAAAACTTAGCAATCTATAATTGGGGCTAATCCCACAACCTATCTGAACCCTAAACCTAACAGGTGGATCTTCTCAGACATGAGGTTTGTCACAGAAATCATAGATGAATAGATATAAAACTGAAATAGAACAGATATAAAAACTAATGAAGCTCCAGGAGGACTCTGATAGGAGTTCCTACCTTCTCTCCTAACTAAGAGAAACAATAAAAAAGAACTTAGAAAAGCTTAGATAGTTTGTAGCCGTCAACAATGGCTTATAAATATCATAACTAGGGTTTCTGGTCGTCCAAGGGTATTATGGTAACTTGTGGGCTTCATTCAGTTATGAAATATAGTCATCCCACGTTCTGGCATTCATATCGACCGATATGAAGTGTCTCCCATCGATCGATATACATCTCTTCTCGACAGCCTTCTCTCGCGAGGCAGACTGACCACTCTTCAGTAAAATGGGCATAACTTCTGATCTAACCGTTGGATTGATCTCAAACCAGTGGCATTGGAAATCTAACTCAAAGATATATTTTGTGTCAAATATGGGCTCAATCTCACCGTTGGAAGGTCTCCATCCATATCTAAACATCTGACGCGTTTGCGCAGTTCTGCACTTAAAGGCTCCAAAAGACACCAAAATCACCATATTTCTCCAGAACGTACCTGAACCTATAAATAATCTAAATAGACTCTATATTGTAGTAAATATATGTGAAAACACCTATAAACCATGGCTAAAAATGGGTAAAATTCATGGTCGATCACCTACATAAAAAAAAATCAAAATTAGTTAAACTCACACATTCAATATTTAATAAAAATTAAATACTGAACGACTTACAATTTGTAGTGTCCTCCCAGCGTGTGGAGTCTGTCCGGAAGTATGATGTACGACTAATCGGTTACCTTCAGCATCACAGGTCAACCGGACAGAAGAGCACTTGCTGAGACCTTTGTACTGACGCATGCAAATTCCAATAAGCCTTCAAGTCATTCCAAACTTCATTGCTGAGGTAGGTTTCTTTTGCGTCATTTCCCATAACCCTCCATTTTCCTTCCAATCACCAACAATGTTCTTTAGGCGAGCCATTGCCTTTTTGTATAACCATTCCTTCACCTTTTTGTTGACACCAATGGACCAATTCCATTTTTGCTACAATAAATAACATGAATAAAAAACCATAATTAATTAACTAATCAAATTATTAATTTTTAAATCAAAAATAAATAAAATTATATTTAAAACTAACCGCGAAGCACTTGAACCAAGTAACGCGAACATGGTCCAGTGTAAGAGACCAGTTCAGATGCGCTTCTCAGAAGTTTTCCCTGATGATATCCCCAACGTTTTGTCCCCAATAATCATTTGACCTTTATGATGATATCCCCAACGCTCTGTCCCAGAAGTTTCCCTGATGATGAATAGTTATTGCAAGGAGTACTGATTCTGACGCGAGCTAGCTTAGTTTTGGAGGCCTGGCGCGGCGTGTAGTGTGGTTGCTATTAGTGAAGTCGGATCTTAGGGTTATGCAGGTGGATCTCTATGCTACTTGGAGAGTGGTTTGCGCATGGAGGGAGGTTGTGTGGTTCGTGCTTCAGATTTGGTTGTACATTTGTATTGATGCCTCCTTTCGTCTGTGGCTGAGAGGTGGTCTTGTGGGCCTGTCGGATTATCCTCAGCGTCTTGGGTAAGGTTTTGTTATACTTGGAGGTGTGCTTCGTCGTTCCAGTCGGAGCTTGGGTGTTGGTTCATGGAGTAGCTCATTGTCGCAGGTATCGACGATGTGCTCTTCCTTACATATGTCTCTCCCTCTTCTCGGTGATGTGCTTCCGATCCATCGTTGGTGCTTAGTCGACAAAGTACATGTGTGTTTGATTTGTTGTTATTTGGTTTGATGCAACCGTTGTCACTAGTTCGTTTGTGGACGGGTTAAAGTTCACCACTTTTGGTTCTCGATTGTGGCGATATGCGAGGATTGTGGAAGTTTCAGGTGGTCTACGGGTTGACTTATCTTTGGTGGCTCCTATCGGCGACACAACATATCCTAGTACCATGGTGGTTATTTGATTGTTCATGGTAATGTTCTCCGCTCATACTTTTGCAGGTTTCGAGCAATTATCGGTTCATGTTGCGACGGTCCTCTCGTGCCCGTCCTTTTGCTTTCTGGTTTGGGTTGGGTGGTCTTTGGGTCTCTCTTTCTAAATTGGATTTTGGCGACAGAGTCAAGTTTGTACAGGCGGTTTAATGGCACTCTTCTCTCGGTTAGCGCATCTCTTCTTGTGTTCGTCTCGTGCTTTATTGATCGGGATGATAACAAACTCCGATAAGTTCATTTGGAAGTTAGCTATTTTATGGAGACGACATGGAAAATCTTAGCATTTGAGGTAACAAAGAGAACCTTACCTTTCCAAGATCCTGGTCGATGGTTGAGATTGGTAACTAATTCTTATGAATTTTAAAAGCTGATTAGCAGAATGTGCCGGGTTGAAACTATGAAGTAATAGATTGACTTGGGAAGTTTTGTTTAAATCAAGTTTGTAAGGAAACCAAATTTCGGTTTTTCGGATCGACAAATTTTTTTTTTTTTTTGACACAAAACTAAAAGTTTAAATTAAAAGAAAAAAATTAGGACCCGATCTCATCCGATCCGATCCAACCGATCTGATACGATTCAACAGATGTTTTTTTTTTTTTTTTTTTTTTAATACTGATTCC